TAAGGAAAGGACAGGGTCTCCTGGACCCTGGACTCACAGCCACAGCCCAATGGGCAGTCCCAGGCCCTGTTCCCTGTGGGTCCTGTGAGTCCCATTCACAGGTGGAGGTTCAGATGCTATGGTTCTTACAGGAACAGCCCCCAGGTGTGGTCATACCCCAGTGATGCCCTGGAGCTCCTGATTCCAGGTAAGTCCCATCCTGCTCCCATCCATGGATTGAGGCACCAGACACATTGGCATCTTCTCTGGGAGGGGAGCCCCATGTGAAGGGGTGCGGAGAGTGGAGCACAGGAGCCCCTGGGCCAGAGACACAGAGAGAGACAGTGAGACCTGGGGGCTAGGCCAGGAGAAGGGGTTATGGGAGGAGCAGCCCAAGTAATTCATGTCTGGTCTCCCCAGGTGAGTCTGGGAAGCCCTCCCTCCTGAGCCAGCAGGGCCCCATCGTGTTCTCTGAACAGAGACTGACCCTCCAGTGTCGCTCTGATGTCGGCTATGACAGATTCGCTCTGCACAAGGAGGGTGAACCGGACCTCTCCCAGAGCCTTGTCCTGCAGCCCCAGGATGGGCTCTCTCAGGTCCACTTCCCCCTGGGCACTGTGAGCAGCTCTCACGGGGGCCGGTACAGATGCTACGGTGGATACAACCTCTCCTCTGAGTGGTCGGCGCCCAGTGACCCCCTGGACATCCTGGTGGCAGGTGAGGAGCTAGTGGGTTCAGTCAGGGACCCTGACTCTGCACAGGCCCTGCTGGGGTCTCAGGTTGTGAGGCCAGAATGAAAGTGCAGGCCCCCAGGGAGGGAGAGAAACAGAGACAGAGACAGGGGGTGGAAGAAGAGAGAGGGGAAACTCAGAGAAACAGAGACAGACAGAGAGGAGGGTCCTCAGACAGAGGCCTGGTGACTCTCAGGTCACAACAAGGTGGTCAGGCAGCCCTCACCCTCCCTCCCTCTCTCTAGGACACCTGCCTGACAGACCCTCCCTCTCGGTGCAGCCAGGCCCCAGGGTGGCCTCAGGAGATAACGTGACCTTGCTGTGTCAGTCACAGAGCCCGAGGGACACATTCCTTCTGTCCAAGGAGGGGGCAGCCGTTCCCCCCCTGTGTCTGAGATCAAAGCACAGAGCTCAGCAGTCCCAGGCTGAGTTCTCCATGAGTCCTGTGACCTCAGCCCATGGGGGCATCTACAGGTGCTACAGCTCAAACAGCACCTCCCCCTTCCTGCTGTCACTCCCCAGTGAGCCCCTGGAGCTCCTCATCTCAGGTGAGGGCCCCTGACCCTGTCTTCTGAGCTGTCATCTCAGGGTCCCCTCCCCAGGGGAATTATAGGCTGAAATAGTGGTGAGGGGCTCTAGAATGGTCATCCAGAAGTTTTCTCTTCCTTAGACGCCCTCCCACCCTATACTCTCCCTCCCCCTCACGCGGGTCTGAAGGGGTAGGTGGGCAGTGGGAGTGTCTTAGGAGCCCCAACACAGATGTAGTAGAAGTCTGAGAGAAGTTCCTACTCCCAGGTCAGCACCAGCTCCTCACCCTCTTCTTGTCCTTCCCAAGAATCTGTGGGGCCCCAGCCCTCCACCACAGGCCCCAGATGAGGAGCACAGAGCACAGAGCTGGTGTCCCCCTGGGGGGCAGTGTGAGGACAGCACAGGGAACCCACAGTCCTGGGTCCCAGTCTCAACCCTGCTCCATCCAAGCTGGGTGACCTGGGGCACGTGATTAACCTCTCTGAGCCTCAGTGAAGTGGGTGGTGGGGTCAGCAATCCCTGGTGTATGACTGCTGTGAGGTGAGAGGAGATGAGGGACAGACCCCAGCACATGCCTCACACACAGTAGGTGCTCATCAAATGGTATCACTGGCTCATTCATGACATCACTCTTGTCCTAGTTCCCAAACGGAACCTGAACATCCTGATCGGGGTCTCCGTGGCCCTTTCATTGGCTCATTCATGACATCACTTGTGTTCAAGGTCTTGAATGGAAACTGATCATCCTGATGGGGATCTCGGTTACCCTCGTCCTGCTACTCTCCCTCCTCCCCTTCCTCCTCCTCCGGCACCAATGTCAGAGCAAAGGCAGGACATCAGGTGAGTAGGGAAAGGGGTGACCTGGGTCACACAATGGGGTGCTCAGAGCACCTGCCATGGGAAATCAAATGGATGGAGATGGTCAGCTGAGAAAAGACTTTTCCAGCATCTGAAATCAGAAAACCTAGAAAGAAAACAATGTCAGACAGTCTCATGAAATATGCACACAAGTGGGTGTTAAGGTTTTGGTTATTTTAATCTTTATTGTTCAGATTATTACAGATGTCCCTCTTTTTCTCCCCCATAGCTCCCTTCCACCCGGTTCCCACCCAACCCCAGCCCCTGCCACCCCACTGTCTGCGTCCATAGGTACTGCATACATACATATAAGATCTTTGTCCCATCTCTTCCCGCACTCCCCCCACAACCCCTTCCTCCCGAGAATTGTCAGTCCACTCCATTTCCATGCCCCTGATTCTATTACATGCACCAGTTTATTCTGTTCATCAGATTTTTTATTCATTTGATTTTTAGATTCACTTGTTTATAGATATGTATTTGTTGTCACTTTGTTGTTCATCATTTTTTATCTTTACCTTTTTCTTCTTTTTCCTCTTCTTAAAGAATACCCTTCAGTATTTTATATAATACTGGTTTGGTGGTGATGAACTCATTTAGCTTTTTCTTATCTGTGAAGCTCTTTATCTGACCTTCGATTCTAAATGATAGTGTTTCTGGGTAGAGTAATCTTAGTTGTAGGTTCTTGCCATTCATCACTTTGAATATTTCTTGCCACTCCCTTCTGTCCTGCATAGTTTCTGTTGAGAAATCAGCTGACGGTCGTATGGGTATTCCCTTGTAGGTAACTAACTGTTTTTCTCTTGCTGCTTTTAAGATTCTCTCTTTGTCTTTTGCTCTTGGCATTTTAATTATGATGTGTCTTGGTGTGGTCCTCTTTGGATTCCTTTTGTTTGGGGTTCTCTGCGCTTCCTGGACTTGTAAGTCTATTTCTTTCACCAGGTAGGGGAAGTTTTCTGTCATTATTTCTTCAAATAGGTTTTCAATATCTTGCTCTCTCTCTTCTTCTGGCACCCCTATAATTCGGCTTTATTTCAGTCAGTGTATGCTTAATTTCTGACTGGTCCTTTTCCATTTTTTTTTGGCATTCTCACTAAGATCCTTGAAGGGCTCACTAAGTTCCTCAGAGGTGTCTAGAAGATTCTTGAGTAACCTTATAACTGTGGTTTAGAACTCTATATCCAGTAGTTTGCTTTCTCCCATTTCTTTCATTTGTCACACGTTTCTTTGTCTCTGCATTTTGGCTGCTTCCCTGTGTTTGTTTCTGTGTATTGGGTAGCTGCTAAGTCTCCTTGAGTTGATAGAGTGGCCTTGTGTAGTAGGTGTTCTATAGGGCCCAGTGACTCAGCCTTCCCAGTCACCTGAGGTAGACACTCTTGGTGCACCCTTTTGTGAGCTATGTACAGTCTTGTTGTATTTGAGCCTTGATTGCTGTTGGCATCACTGGGATGAATTGAACTCCAGGCCAATGGAAGTGCTTCTGTGCAGCAGATACCCTTATGGGGCAGGACTTGCTTCAGTGGATCTTTGGTCCTCCCTGAGTCTGACCCTTGGGTGTGTCACTTATGGATGTGAAGAATTGTAACATGGTATGATCTCACACTGAGCACTGGGTACACTGGCTCTTGGATCTCCAAGGAGGTGCAGCGTCAGCCACTGCCTGTGGCCACCCAGCAGGAGCTACAGAGAGATCTGCAGATTCCTCCTCTTTGTATGAGATTTGGAAGTGCCCAGATGAGGCCCAGCTGTGAAGCAAGGCAGGCTGCTGTGGTGCTGGCCTTTGCCTTCTTTTGATAGCTTTGGGGCTCCCTGACCCAACTGCAGTTTGACAGGTTTTAGGCAGAGAAAGGACCAGTCATTCATATGCAAAAGCCGCTGCATACAGCTTGGGTGGGGTTGTAAATTGGATAGGGTGGGGTCTCAGGGAATCTCCAGGGTGGAGCAAACAGCAATGGCTGCCAGTCAGCTCTGCACCAGAGAGGTCCCAGCTCAGGAACAATGACCATTGTGAGCACCTCCATCTGGAAGAAAGCCGCCCCCGTGTTCCTGCCCTGATGCCAGACAGTCCAGTTTCTCCTTGTATGTGTCTTGTTCCCCCAAAGTCTCGCCCAGTACTGGAGCTCAGAGCAAGTGGAAGCTTGTACCTCCCTCCCAATTAAAAAAAGCGGCATACCCGGGTGCTAGCCTGATCTGTGCCTCCGCACCTCCTGCCAGTCTCAATGTGCTTTCTTCTTTACCTCTCTAGTTGTAGTACTTCCCCTCAGCTAGCTTCCCTGCCGTTCTGGATGATAGTTGTTCTGTATTTTAGTTCTAATTTTGCTATGGTTGTGGGAGGCAGCAAGTACAGGTGTTAACCTATGCTGCCATCTTGGTTGACTTGAGTGTTAAGGTTTTATTCTTTCCTGTGGAATCACATGGGGAGTGGCTCCTAACCTCACAGCCCTGAGACTGTCCCTCTTGACCAGCCCAGAGAGGGGCTCATGTCCAACCTCCTGCAAGGGCCACAGACCCAGAGCCCAAGGACAGAGGCCTGCAGATCATGAAACTCCTGCCCCAAAGACCTGAAATATCCACCATCTACGGCCCATCTCTGACCCTAAAACTCATGTCTCCTCCTCCAGTTGAAGCCCAGCTTTGGACAGCCAAGAAGAGACTCTTTGTGAGAGGAAGAGACAGCTGCCCTGGAGGAGCGGGCACAGGGATTTCAGGAGGCAATGGGGAGGGTTAGGCTGGGAGGGTGTGGGGTCAGAGTGAGAAGAACTGAGATGCACACTGCCTGACCTGATGCCTCTCCTCACCCCTGAGTTAGTGGTCCATCTGGGAGAAGGCAGGGCCTGCAGCTCTGAGAACTTGGGGACCTACCAGGAGACACCTCCCCGTTCTGCCCCAACAGATGCTGTCATGAAGGACCCACAGCCTGGGGATAGCGTGGAGCTGGACCCTCAGGTGAGAACCCTGCTCCTGTTCAGGCCACAAGGACATTTCTGTCACCCAGTTTAATTCAACGGTTTGTTCCCTGTCTCCACCTCACCTTGTTCTCAGCGGTGTCCACATTGACCTCTCCTTCTGGGCCCCCAGGTCGTCCTGCTGAGCCTGACTCCTCCTGGTTTCCTTGTGACTTCATGGCCCCTTCTACTGGGCCTCCTTTGTTGGCCCCTAATCCTCTGTCTGACCTTGTGAAGCTCCAGGTCTCAGGAGGATGCAGAAATAAGTGACTTACCCATAGGTCACCAAGAGCCCTTTCATTCATTCATCCAGAGGTGAGAACCCTGCTCCTGTTCAGGCCACAAGGACATTCTTTCACCCAGTTTAATTCAATGGTTCGTTCCCTGTCCCACCTCTCCTTGTTCTCAGCGGTGTCCACACTGACCTCTCCTTCTGGGCCCCCAGGCCATCCTGCTGAGCCTCACTCCTCCTGGTTTCCTTGTGACCTCATAGCCCCTTCTACTGGGCCTCCTTTGTTGGACCCTCATCCTCTGTCTGACCTTGTGAAGCCCCAGGTCTCAGGAGGAGGCAGGAATAAGTGACTTACCCATAGGTCACCAAGATCCCTTTCATTCATTCATCCAGCAAATGTGAAAGGGGCTCACTGTTTACAGCTGCTTTTAGGAGCCATTGTGCAGCCCTGAGCCACACTGTCTCCACACTCCTTGAGCTCCCCTGTGGGTGAGGGAGACAATATTCAAACAAGCAGACAGTGTCCCAGAGAGCACAGTGCTGTGAAGGAACATAAAGCAAGAGGAGGAGATAGAGCGCATGGTGAGGGGACAGGGAGAAGAGCGGTGCAAAGGTCCTGAGGCAGGACATGCTTCAGGAGGATGGGTCATGAAGCTGGAGCCAAATGAGCAAGAGAGAGCACGTTAGGATAAGAATCAGAACCATAGAAGCATCCAGAGGCTCCAGGTCTTAGGAAGACCCTGCAGATTCCATCAGGAGAGGGAGCTAATCTGTTTAAAGTTTAAGTCATCTCTCTCTCAACATGTGCTTGAAATCTGGAGGATTTCAACAGTGGAATCAAGGAGACATTGTTCTGTCTCACTGTCTCCAGCAGAACAGGCAGGATGAAGACCCCCAGGGAGTGACATATGCCCAGGTGAACCTCTCAAGACCAAGACCCAGGCAGGGAATGGCCACCCCTCCTTCCTCCATATCAGGGGGATTACTGGATAAGAAGGGCCGACAAGCAGAAGAGGACAGACAGATGGACAGTCAGGTGGGTCCTATCCTCTCCATACCCCAAGGCTTCCCCAACTCTAACCATTTCATCCTACTCACTCTCCCCTTGCTCCAGGCTGTCACCTACGCCCAGCTGAACCACTTGACCCTCAGACAGAAGACATGTGCATCCCCTTCCTCCCTGTCAGAGGAGCCCCCAGATGAGCCCAGTGTGTATGCTGTCCTGTCGGTCTACTAGCCCAGGATGGACCCAGACCCCACACTCCAGGGAAGGGATTCACATTTCCCAGGAGGGGTGGAAACCTGACATGGACCCCCGCAGCTCCTGGAAACCTCTGGGAGTCACCTGATTTTATAGTCAAGATAAGCAATATCGCCTGACCAGTGTTGCTCATTGGATGAGAGTCAACCTATGAACCATGAGGCGACAGTTCCTTTCTTGGTCAAAGAACATGCCTGGGTTGCTGTCTCATTCCCCAAGAGGAGGCATGCCGGAGGCAGCCAATCAATGATTCTCATCATTGATGTTTCTATCTCTCTGTCCCTCTCCTCTCCCCTCCTCTCCTCTCTGAAATCAATAAAAATCTATAATAATAAAAGGCTAATATGCAAATGGTCATCACACCTTCATGCATAACAACTGATCAGCAGGAGGCTGCAACCCCGCCCAGCACCGGCCAGGGACATGATGCACTGGTGAGGCTTCACGGGGGTGGGGCCAGCCAGGTCTGGGTCTTGTCCAATGGGGTTGGGGCCTGCTGGGTCTGGGTCTCGCACAATTTTGAGGGGTGTGTGGGTGGGCAGGGACTTGACTCTGGGTCCCACTGCATGCCCCAGACTCTGACAGGAGGGAGATTTTTCATATACATTTTACTAATTTTCTTTCATTTCTGACACTTCTATTATAGAGAAAGGGCAAATAGCAACATTAAAATATTTCCTCTAATTAATTCCCTTTTAATGTTCACAAATTTTGTGCACTGGGCCACTAGTATATTAATAATGAGATAAAAAATATCCTTACATTTTTTTAAATAAAGCAACAGACTTCTCAATAAGAAATGTGTGAACCAAAACTGAAGTGAACATTTTCAATTAAATGATAATGTAAATATTACACATCAAATCTATTAAATGAGAAAACTAAAAACCATGAATGGTAGAAAAGAAAATGCCTTAAAAAAATCATTGGCCTATGCTATCATATCGAGTATTTAGAGGGGTAAAAAGATTGGATTGAATCTTTAGCTCCATAGATGATTGGATGAGAAAGATATAGCGTGTATACACAATGGCATATAAGTCAGCCATAGGGAAGGGAAAAATGGGAGCTGGCTAGGCAGACCTGTCAGGCACCTGGTCTGAAGGCCAGGCTTGAAATGCAACTAAATTGGAGCATATTCACCTGGTATTTCCAACTGTGGTCCAGCTGAGGAGGTGACTTATAACAAGGAAGAACAGAAGGCATCTGAAGACCAAGCATGGGAGTTTTCATTGGCAACTACACACCTGAGCCATTGGCTCAGGGAGGGAGATGTGGACTTGAGTTGCCTGAGGACAGGCGGGGGAGGGAAGCAGGGCAGGGAGACCTAAAAAACCAGTAGCCAGGAGTCCTGCATTGGGTCATTCATATGCTTCCAAACCAAAACGGCCATTTTCCCTGGGAGGAGCTACCGCCTCCCAACACCCAGAGGGCAGGTAAAGGGAAAAAAACACCTGCCCTAAGTGATACAGCCCGTTATACCCTGCATTTTGAGCTTTACTGAGGAAACAAAGGCAGAGGCCAAGCTTATGGGTCTGAACAGTCTCAAGGAGCCCTCAGTGACTGGAGTGGAGAAGGGGCCGTCCTCCCCACTCTTCTAAGAGCCAGACTGATAAAAATTCCAGAGTGCCAGCTGACCCCATTGGTCTCCATACTAAGATCTCTGTCCTTGTAATATTTAGGCCACTCGTGGAGGAGCAGCTCTGGGACAGGAAAAAACACCCATCTTATTCCCTGAAAGCGAAACAACACCAACCCTACCAAAAGCCCTGTCAGAAACAGACTATCGAGTGATTAAGACTGAGAGCTGGTGGGCAGGCAAAGAGGGCAGATTGGGTCCTCCTGCTTGACACCAAGGCCTGTGGAGACAGACACAAGCAGTGGACCAGTGGATCACGTGGAGCTTCAAGCAGGAAGCTAAAAGTCAAAAGACAGTGCCTGGCAGTAATTGGTACCTAAATACCTAACAGGAAGCCTAGAATTGGCAGACAGAAGGGTGGGGTCCTATGCCAGCTTCCACAGGGCATTAAAACTTGGCTGAAGCAAAGGACACTTCACTTCATTTTTTAAATTTTATTTCTTTTAATTTTTTTTTGCACCTTTTTCTTCCTCTCGTCTCTTTTTTCCCCTCCCATTTTTGTACACCTTTCTCCTTTTTAGTTTTCCTCTTTCCTTTCCTTTCCCCCCTTTTCAAAAATGGATCTTCCTTATCTATCTGCTTTATTCGTTATTATTCTAGTCTCTTGTTTTGTTCATATCTCTAATTTCCTCTTCCCTGCTCCAACTCAATTTCCTTTTCTATTTTCTTTTTTTTTACTACTCAATTTTTATTATTTTTTCTCTCTTCTCTTTTTCTTCTCTTTTTCTCCTAATTTCTTCCATTATACTGTTTATGGCCGCTATGTCATTCTTCATTTCCTCTTTATGACAATGGAAGGTTTCAACAGTAGACTAGAAGAAGCTGAGGGCCAAATCAGTGAGTTAGAAGACAAGGCAGGAAAAATACACCCAAGCAGAGCAGCAAATGGAAAAAAATTAAAAAGCAGGAGGAAAGTGTAAGGGAACTTTGGGGCAACATGAAATGAAACAACATCCAAATAATAGGGGTGCCAGAAGGATAGGAAGTGGAGCAAGTAATAAAAAGCCTGTTTGAAGAAATAATGACAGAAAACTTCCTTGACTTTTGGGAAGAAAAAAAGTCACATAAATCCAAGAAGCACATAGAGTCCCAATCAAGATGAACCCAAAAAGGCCTACACCAACACACATCATAATTACACTGGCAAATGTAAAATACAAAGAAAGAATCTTAAAGGCTGCATGAGAGACAGAAAGTTACCTACAAAACATTTCCCACTAGACTAGCAACTGATTTCTCAATAGAAACACCTTAGACCATAAGGGAAGGGAATGGAATGAAGTATACAAAGTGATGAAAAGCAAGGGACCAAACACTCTATCCAGCAAGTCTATCATTCAAAATTAAAGGTGAAATCATGAGCTTTGCAGACAAAAAAAGGCTAAGGGAGTTTATTACCACCAAACCAGCAATGCAAGAAATGCTGATCAATGTTTCTAACTCTCTGTCCTTCTCCCTCCTCTCTGTAAAAAATCAATAAAATATACCTTAAAAATGCCAAAGGGACTGTTGTAAAAAGAAGAAATAGAAAGGGAAGAAGGAACACAAGCATAAAGAATAAAAATGGCCACAAACAAGTACCTATGTATAATAATAATAGTGTAATATGCTAATTAGGCCAGATGTCCCTCCTGACGAAGCCGGGCTGCGAGGGAAGCCTGGGTCCTGGGTGCCTGCCTGGGAAGCCCAGGGGCTGCGTCTGTGGAAGCTAGAAGCTGGTGTTTCTCTCAGGTCTCCCATGAGCTCCCTGGAAAGTGGGGGGGAACCGACAACCCCTGCCTCTGCCCAGCCTTCTGAGCCCCAGCCTATGCTGCTGACCCCTCAGTAGGACTTCAAGTGCTGGGTGGGGCGAGGAGGATTCCACAGGGCTGGGCAGGTGGAGTGCTTTTCCTCAGACTGATGCTGCTTGGAGTGGATCGATTGTTCCTCCCAAGAAGAATGACGGCTGTGGTATTGGTGGATGCTCTAGCACCAGGTCCGGTTGGCCGCGCCTCCACACCTCTCCCCAAAGCCAGACACCCCAGACTCTCCATGGGCGAGTCTTCACATCCTCCCTCTGCCTGTTGGTGAGTGACTGAAGGCGTAAGTTTTGTGTGTTGGCCCTTTATTAATTTATTTTAATTATTTTTAAAAATATTTTTGTTGATTTCAGAGAGGAAGGGAGGGGGAAAGGAAGGGAGGGGGAGAGGAAGAGAGAGAGATATAGAAACATCAATGATGAGAGAGAAACATCAATGATGAGAGAGACTGCTTCCTGCATGACCCACACTGGGGATCAAGCCTGCAACCCAGGCATTTGCCCATGACCAGAATTGAACCTGGGACCCTTCAGTCCACAGGCTGACACTCTATCCACTAGGGCTTTTTATTTATTTTTTTAACCCTCACCCAAGGATATTTTTTCCATTGATTCTTTTTTTCAGAGAGAGAGAAAGGGAGGAAGGAGGGAGAGATAGAGAAATATGAGTGTGACAGAGACGTATTGAGGGATTACCTCCCGCACATGCCTGGACAGGGGCTGTATCGAATATGTAACCCAGGTATGTGCCTTTAACTGGGACTCGAAACCCTGACCCTTCTGAGTGTGGTCTGATGTTCTAACCACTGAGAAAAACTGGCCAGGGATGAACATGCTCTTTGTGCTAAACACAGCAAGAGGATAAAATACCTACATAAGATTTAAATACACTTGTAGTGAAGGTAAACCCTTTAAAAAAACAAAGATCTAAAAAAACATTCTACATAAAACACATGGAAGTCATATACTCATAGTTCTTGCCCCTTTTATATGAAATTGAAGAGACTTTAGGAAAGAAAAAATGCCCTATGGATGGGACTAGAGCTGTCCACAGCCCAGTGCTGAATTCATAGCACTTCTCAGGATGAACATACAAAATAGGGCAGAATTGGGGGAGATGGTGGTGGCCCATGGTCTTAAGATAAACCTCCTAGATACACACCCACATTCCTGGTCAAGGCTGTACCAGGTCTGTGTCAGCTCGACCTCTTCAAAGAAGGTGAGCTTTCCCGGCTTGAGGATTTTGTGATGACAACTTTGAATTCACTTTGTGGTATCAGGTTCGCTCTCTTCATGCATCAGGAAAAGGGGTGAACTCCCTGTGGAAGTTTTTATAGCAGAGGTTTTGATGACTTATTTTTCAGTTGTTAAGGTGAAGCTCTAGAGGCAAGTTCACAGGATGTGGTGGGCAGGGTCCCCACACCACAGTGTGTGCAGGGCACAAGGTGCCGGTCACACAGGAAGTGGACCAGCTCTCCTCACCCCCAAAATAGCAGGTGCTGAGGGTCTGACTTGAGCCACATCTCTGAACTGTCCTGTGTAGTTTTCCTAAACTCTACAACCACATATTGATTTTAACATAGCTCGCTGCCATGTGAAAGTCAAAACAATTATTTGGTTTACAGAGCTTAATATTCCAGTGCCAAACTAATGAATAAAATGGTTAAGGATATAAAACAAATTTTAGCAGAAACATGAAATCTCTCACCCACTGAATATCTATTCAGCCTTCTACCAGGTGCACGTATAATCTTCTGACAACAAAAAGCAGAGTGGATAGTTGGGTTCTGCATCTCTAGAAGAGAAGGAAACCTACAATATCTAGTTTTTCTTGTTTTACTGAAATCGTTTTTTATGTTTGAGTCAAACTTGTTTCTTCTATCAGAGATCTGATAAGAGAGAGAGAGAGAGAGAGAGAGAGAGAATGAGAGATAGTGAATTAGTTTGGTAAGTTTGCCACAACAAAATACAACTAACTAGGTGGCTTAAGACAACAGACATTAGTTTTATTAGAGTCTGGAGAAGAAAGAGATTGATTGCAGATGGAGATAGATGTAGATGATAGATAGATGATAGATAGATAGATAGATAGATAGATAGATAGATAGATAGATAGATGATAGATAGATAGATAGATAGATAGATAGATAGATAGATAGATAGATGATAGATAGATAGATAGATAGATAGATAGATAGATAGATAGATAGATGATAGATAGATAGATAGATAGATAGATAGATAGATAGACATATGCCACCATCAGACTCTATTTCTTGTCCTCCATTCCAGGTAAGTTTTTCTTACATCAAGCCTGAGGGTGATTTTTCCCAACTTTACTGAAATGTAAATGGCATATAACATTGGCTAAGTGTTAGGTGACAATGTGTGGATGTGATACATTTAAATATTGCAATATGATACCACTTCAGTGTTAGCTAACAATTCCGTTAATAAGTCATAATTGCCCCATTTTTTTGCGGTGAGAACCTTTAGGATACAACCTCTTAGATACTTTTGGGGTAATATGATACAGTATTGCTTACTGAGATCACCATACTGTACATTAGCCCCCCCCCCAAATTGTTCATCTTATCACTGAAAGCTGATACTCTTTCACCAACATCTCTCCTTTCCCCATGCTCCCTGTGGTAACCATCGTTCTCTCTGTTTCTACTAGTTTGGCTTTTTCAGATCCCACAGGTACGTGAGATGAATCAGCATCTGTCTTTGTCTGTCTGATTGATCTCACGTAGCATAACGCCCTCCAGGTCCCTCAGGGTCATTACAAATGGCAGGATTTCCTTCTCTCTTGTGGCTGAATAATATTCAATTTTATGTCAATTCAGAAATGGGCATCTCCCGCCAGTCAGAGCGTTCTACACATGTGCTTGCAGGGGCAGCGCTCCCCCAGACCGTCCCCACAAACCCCAACATGCTGATGCCACATGGGGACAGCTCTGGGGAAATGACACGGGTGGCATCTGGTGAGGAGAGGAAAGACTGTGGGTCCAGAGAGGGTTCAGGCATCATGTTGGATTTTTAATTCCCAGGCTTGCACCTGGCTTAGCCCATTTATTCAGTTATGGAGCCCAGGTTAACCTCTGTGTGCTGAAGCAATGATGAATCCATAACATTCACCTGGGAATGTGGCGATTAGAAATAAAGAACAATTTATTGCATAACAATGGGAGAGCATGAAGTGTTAGATGTGGGGACCCACACCAGCCATGTGGGATGGACCCTCAAGTCACAGGGGTGAGAAAGGAAGAGGGGGCAAGACAGGGAGAGAAAATAGACATTTAATGGTAGAAGAGTCCCGTACAGGGAACACACAGACATTTCCTGCATGCAAACCATGTTTATTCCTCTGGACATTCTCAGCAGTTTCCCCGACAATGGCCCCGTCTTTCAGCACCTCCTGGGCTCACCAGATGGGCTCCAAGGCACCCCCTCTCTGAACTGTGCACCGTCCCCTCTGTGGTCACCCTCTGTCTTCATCATGGGTCCTTCTCTGGTTGTGTCGAGCCTCAAATAGCAGCACCCTGAGGACCACCAGGACCAAGCCAGCCACGCCCATCCAGATGAGATTCCCCACGGTGTAGTCTTGGGGGTGGGAAGCAGGGAGTTGTGGACAAAGAGGTCAGAGAGATCAGGATCCTGCATGTTCACCCAGCACACCCACTTCCCCTTGACTGGACATGACCCTCTACCCCAAGCATGTCAAACTCGCAGCCTGCGGGCCATGCAAGGGGATTGGGTATGTCTTCAAGACAAGAGGGAAATATAGAAATGGACTGCGCTGGTGAGGTTGTTTATGAAGATCATGTGCACCATGTATTACAAGTGAATGACAAATATGCAATGTTTCTGCCCTAACCGGTTTGGCTCAGTGGATAGAGCGTTGGCCTGCAGACTGAAGGTTCTCAGTTTCGATTCTGGTCAAGGGCATGTACCTTGGTTGCAGGCACATCCCCAGTGGGAGGTGTGCAGGAGACAGCTGATCGATGTTTCTCTCCCATCGATGTTTCTAGCTCTCTATCACTCTCCCTTTCTCTCTGTAAAAAATCAATAAAATATATTTTTTAAAAATGCAATTTCTGACCAAAAAAATGTAAACAATGATTAAACCCCAATATCCTGTGTCATCTGAGGAAGACAGGAAGTATTGTGGGGTCCAGAGTGGGTGTGAGGCATCATTTTAAATTTCTCTTTCCTAGGTTTGTATCTAATTCTGCCCACTTAGTTAATTTCTTTAAATATATTTTTATTAATTTCAGAGAGGAAGGAAGAGGGAGAGAGAGATAGAAATATCAATGATGAGAGAGAATCATTGATCAGCTGCCTCGTGCACACCTCCTACTAGGGATTAAGCCCACAAGCCAGGCATGTGCCCTGACCAGAATTGAACCATCACCTCCTGGTTCATAGGATGACACTCAACCACTGAGCAACACTGCCCGAGTTATTTAGTTACTGAATTCAGGTGAAGTCCTGTGAACTGAAGAGAAGACTCAACAACGCCCATCTGA